GCGATGTTGGCTTTCTTTTTGTATGTGTTGGCTGTTCGACTTTCCCTTTCTGTGAACAGTGAAGTGTTTCTTTGGCCTGTTATTTTTGATTGGGCTATTTATTGTAAGTATTCTTTTTATATTTTGGATGTTAGTCCTTTTTGTATTACAGATGTTTCAGATACTTTTTGATCTAGGGAGCATTTCAAAATCTCTATACTTGAAACCCACCCACAGGTTCTGATTCATAAGTTAGGTGGGTGTGAAGATTGGGCATCTATATCTTTCAACAGCTACACAATTGACTCTGGTGTGGACTCTCTTTTAAGAACATTATAAAAGATCAGGGATAATGGATGAAGCTTAGCATAGTAGCGAAGCGCTTAAGAAGATCTGTGTTCCGCTTTCAACACTTTGCAGTGTGGGCCCTCAGACCAGTTACTCTAAGCCCTGTTGTCTTCACATGAAGAGGAGCAATAGTAGGGCTTATGAGACAATGCATGTGATGTGTACAGTACCTGTCATAACAAAAGCTAAAAGGCAAGAAAATCAAAATTACTATGTATTCAGTAATCAAATGTAAGTCTATTAAAAAGATGTATTACTTACGAAAATTGTCTGCATTGGTAACCATTCTCAGCATCAGGCTTCAGAATCATTGAAATCAGTTGACTGTGATGAGTAAGAATGACTTGGTATACAGAAAGAAGAAATTGTGCCAGATGGTGTGAGTATTTGTTTTTGGGCTAGCCCAGGCGGTCCCATGGGAGGAGCAATGGTGAAACAGACTGGAACCGAGTTAATGATGATCTTTCATCCCAGGAGGAAGTAGGAGAACATAGTGTACAATTGTTTAGCATTTGCTGACTTACATGATGGTGACTTAGTTTATTGTAAATATTTATTTGAATCTTCTTACTAGAGTGGGACTTGCTCTAGAGTAGAGATTTTTGTCTCGTACATCTGTGTGGACCTAACACCTCCCTAAATCAGTGCCTGTTTACATCTAGTCAATAGTCACTGCCTGGACTTGGTGGCCAGTAGGATGATGGCATGAGGAAAGTGTCCCAGTAGTTACCTCTGGCTAAGTGTGCCTCATTCTGTCAGAGAGCAGCCCAAACTGCTACCAGCCTCAAGTGGGCTGTCCAGGGTGTGAGTGTTATATTTGAGAGACTTTTGAGCCCCTGGTCACTGATAGGTCACCAAGTGATAGTTCTCCATGATTGACCCGAAAGAGGTATAAAGGTGAGGCTGTATCAACACAGTCTTCTGCCCGTCTGTTGTGTAATGACAGGAAACTTCAGCAAAAGGGATACGCAAGAGTTGCTGACTTGGGGTTGTTATTGCTGAGCACAGTTCCTCCCTGTTTGACTTCCCTGGCAGATAGGGCAGGTGTGCTCTAGTCGATTCTTTCATTCACCTACTTCTTCATGTAATATGCAGTCAGAACTTCAGCATCTTCTGTTATTTAAGTAAGACAACCAGAATATAAACCATATTGTCCTAATTTTTAATTTTAAGCTATACATATTTATTTTTGAAGACTGGAATGAAATACCATGTTATCACTAGAATATTCTGCTTTCCTATTTTTTTTTTAATCTCAGGTATTCTATAGTTAGCATGAATTACTTTGGTAGTAAAAAAGATACGTTTATAAGAATAACATCAAGTTCCCAGGTTAAGCACTATGCCAAGAGGTTGTATGGGATATTTTGAGTTTAAGGACTAACATATCAGTGCAGAGGGTCTGGTGTTAAACCTCTAAGTAGCTGATCCGAGGAGCACCTCACTCACCTGTGGCTTAAGCAGGATTATGTGTCACCCCTAGGGCCATCACTGTGCACGTCCCAATACCCCCAGCGGGAGTCGTGGACATCCCCATCATCGAGAAGGAGGTGCAAGGCCAGCAGCAACACCACAAGGTGGGAGAGCAGGCTCTGCGGGCTGGGGCTTCTGTTCTGCTTGGAATCATATCTTGATTTCTTTGGCTTCAGATGACGCTTGCCCCAAGCTACCGCATGGACAACGGGGAGATGGTGAGGACGCGGACCAGCCGGAAGGCGCAAGTGGCTGTGACTCAGTACCAGGTGCTAAGCAGCACTGTCTCTTCCGCCCTGCTGGAGCTCCAGCCTGTCACAGGTGAGGGTGCCCCTGTTCCATAGTGGGCTGCACCCCATTGCTGCTGAGCTTTGTCCAGGGCCTCAGACCCCTCAGTCTTAGGGGAGAGGCTGGGGATTGTGATCGACTCGAGAGTGTACCTTTGGTGCACTCTGCAGCTGGGACAACTGGGAAAGACAGTAGGTAGCAGAAGAATATAAGCAATTTGATCACATTTATTTAAAAATGTACAGAGCACACCCTTAAGAAATTAAAATAGAATCACCACACGATCTAGCAAACTCTACTTCTGGGCATATACCGAAAAACTGAAAGCGGGTACTCAGCAAGATATTTGTGCATCAGTGTCTCATTCACAGCAGCAGCATTTACAGTAGCCTAGAGGTGAAAGCAACTCAGATGTTCATCAGCAGATGAATGGGTAAACAAAATGTGGTATGCACTTACAGTGGAATATTATTCAGCCTTAAAAGGAAGGAAATTCTGACTTGTGCTCGACATAAACAGCCCTTGAAAATAGCTGAGTGAAATATGCCATTGTTGGCAAATGCATGATTCTGTTTATGTGTGGTTCCTGGAATAGTCACCTTCATTAAGACAAAGGAAAACAGTGGTTAGTAGGAGTCAGAGGGAGTTAGCGTTTAATGGGGACAGAGTTTCACCCCGGGAGATGAGAAAGTCCTGGGGCTGGATGTCATGCTCACATTGAATGTGCTTGATGCCCCTGAATGGTGTCCTTAAAAGTGGTTAAGATGGTCGTTTTATGTTACAGGTTTGACCACAATAAAAAGTAAATGTGCAAAGCAGTACTATTTGGTGTTATATCATAAGGTTATTAAAAGTATGTTCACAGTAGAGCTCAGATTGATGAGCCCAGAAGGCTACTTGGAGCTGTAATAGTATCTACGCTGTTGATTTCCTGAGCTCGTATACACCTTACTGTGCTGGAGGCTCTGCCAATTTTCCTGCACTTTGATTTAATGTGACTAGAAGCAGAAGTTGCCACTGGCATTGTTTCTATAGCTCCTCATAAGATTTCTCCTCTTTTCTTTAAGGAGTAAAACATCAGCTTCGAGTTCACCTGTCTTTCGGGTTGGATTGTCCGATCCTAGGTGATCACAAGTACTCAGACTGGAATAAACTGGCCCCCCAGGTAATACTGGTGTGAACCAACATGCAACAGAGTCAGGTAGAGGGCTTCGCTTTCCGTTTGTTAAAAGCCTGGAAGTGAGTCACACAAAGATGTGTTGATTGTCTTCAGATATGGTGCCATCCTGGTTGAGTAATGTTTAGAAAGTTCCTGGATGTTCAGCTGCTGTGCTCATGGAGCAGCAGATCTGTAAGTAAAATTTCCTCTTGGGCAGCTGTGGAGACTTTCTAAAAGCTTGATGCAGCCTTGGTGCTGCTGCCAAAGAACCCTGACCCAAAATGCCTTGACTCTGGAGGTGGCCCATTCTTAGGGAAACCCAGTTAGTCACAAGTGAGCGCCTCCTGGGTGTGGTGGTTCTGAATCCCTCCTGGACTTGTTCCAGGAGCAGGCTCTCTCTTGTAGGCATGCCCAGAGATACTGTAGGTCTGCTCCAGACCACTGCCAGAAAGTAAATATTGCAGTTAGGAGACTCAGGCAAATATTTTGGTTTCCCACTACCAGGAAGTTATTTTTGTATTATACTGTCATCTTAAGTGTGCAATACATTAGGCCTTAAATCTGCCTTAATTACAAAAAATACCTTAATTGCATAAGAATGCTGGCCCTCATTTGAAGCTTCAGAGAATTCTCTTTTGCTGGTAGAAGGTCTGACCTAGATGCCGATGGCCCCTGATTGATCAGGGTGGGGGTTGCCGAGGGCTGGGGTGGCTGTGACCACTACTTCAAATAAGAGAGCAGTGAAGCTTGCTGCATCAACTGACTCTTCCTTTCATGAAAGATTGCTCTGGAGCATGTTTAATCACAATTGCGCTTCTTGCAACACTGGAGTCAATCTTCATAAACCCTGCCTTGCTTTATCAACCATATTTATGTCATATTCTAAATCCTCTGTTGTCATTTCAACAGAGTTCACAGCATCTTCACCAGAGGACATCCCATCTCAAGAAGCACTTTTTTCACTCACCCATAAGAAAAGTACTCATCCATTCAAGTTTTATCACAAGATAGCACCAATTCAGTCACATCTTCAGATTCCACTTCTAATTCTAGTTCCTTCTGCAGCTTCCTCGCCTCCTCAGCCTTCATGGAATTGAAAAGAGCTAGGCTTTTGTTCTGGATTAGATTTTGGTTTAGGGGAATATTGTGACTAGTTTGATCTCTCAGACCAGTAAAAAGCCCCCTATATCCACAATAAGGCTATTTTGCTTTCTTATCATTGATGTGTTTACTGGAGCAGCAAAGACATATCCTTTGCATTTACAACTCAGCTAACTGGCACACAAGGCTAACTTTGAACCTGTCTAGTTTTCAGCATGCCTTCCCCACTAAGCTTCATAATTTCTAGCATCTGATTTCAAGCGAGATATTTGATTCTTCCTTTCACTTGAGCAGTTAGAGGCCACTGTAGGGTTATTGATGTCCCTCACTTCACCATTGTTGACTCAACTTCACCATTGTTGAGTCTCTGGGACTAGGGGAGCCAGAGGCGGGGGAGAGCTGCATCACAGCTGGCAGTGAGGCAGTCAGAATGCACACAGCATTTACAGCCAAGTTCTCCGTCTTACCTGTTGTGGTTCATGGTGCCCTTCGGCAAGTACAGCAGTGACATCAAAGGTCACAGTTTTTAAATCTTTGTTTTGGAAGCAAGCCTCACAGACAGAGTAATAATGGGAAAGTCTGAGCTATTGTGAGAATTGCCAAAATGTGAGAGAGACATAGAGGGAGCATATGCTAGCAGTAAACTTGTTCCACTCAAGTTTTCATGAAACTTCAATTTGTAAAATAAACTAAAACAAAACCCTGCAGTAAAATAGGATGTGCCTGTGTTGGGCCTCCCAGGGGTGGGCCTTCACGTGAGTCTTCTGACCAGGAGCCTGGTTGGGGCCTTGCTCTCACAGACTGTCTTTCTCGCGCAGAAGCTGCCCGCGGGCACCCTGAAGAAGCTGGGGCTGCCGCAGTCCAAGGTCCGCCACATCCCCCTGCACCTGCACGCCCGCCAGCTGGTCCTGCCTGCCGTGGGCTCCCGGAAGGAGGAGCTCAGCTTGACCTGCAAGCTTCCTCGATTCTTTGTACGCTCCCTGAGCCGCCTGGGGTTAGAGATGCCGAATCAGGATCCAGAGGGCGGCAGTGCAGTGGCACACCGGGGGGCACAGTGAAGCCCGTGGGGCAGTCGGGCCTCTGAATTCTTCACTTTGTGCAGTGAACTCTACTCACTTCTAGCTTGGGACAGACCCCAGAAGCACCCAAGTGGGACATGGCGAACGAAGTCGGCTGCCTTGGGACTTTTACTGAAGACTAAAGTCTGTTTTGCCACATGCACTCTGGGAAAGCCAAGAGTGGGGAGAGCCCAGCCCAGGTAGACTGGGTCAACAACTGGACAGGAGGTGAAGCCCTGAAACTGTGATCAGCAAGCATTTTCACCAACAATAAAGCTCCTGATGGATCAGGAAGGTGCTTGTGGTTGTAATGAGTGTTCTGGCTAGACATGGGGGTATGGCGTTCTCCCCAGCTACCACAGAGAGCCTCTACACTCGTGACTGTGTTGCTGTGAGTGGAGATTTGAGCAGACAGGCCGGCCAGTGACGGGGTGAAGGCTGTGGCGGGGCACACTCACTGCCTAAAGGGGGTGGTGGTCATTGCCATGTCAGAACAGATTTTCTAACTTTTTCCAGAGTCCAGAAACAGGTGTCTATATAGCCAGCTAAATCTCATTTAAATAAACAACTCACACATACACAAATACTCAGGCAGCCCAGCCATAATGGTTCCCAGTCTGTGTTTAAGGCTTTTATGGCCATTCTGGAACTCTGGATCAGGGACTGGCATTGAGCTACATGTAGTAGCTGCCCTTTCCAGACGACGGCCTGACTTAGGAGGCTGTTGCTGGTTTTTAAATCTTTGTTTTGGAAGCAAGCCTCCTTGTGGGTCTCAGGAAGGAGGGGCCTTCCTGCAAGTGATGGAAATGTCTTGATCTTCCTGCTCAGCTGGTCCAGCTCGCTCCCCTTTGTTTCTGGTGAGCAGTGCTGTCTAGCCAATAAATAGGCTGCATTACTTCAGGCTAAGTTGAGAAAAGTTGGAGTGACTTGGGAGTGCCCCTGAGAACAGCCTCCATGTGCTGGCTCTCTGCTGAGGACAGCTTTCTAAATCCCCTTCCGTAGCTCCATGATAGCCTCTTACTATTGCATAATGGATTGAACTTTAGATGCACAGACAAAATATCTGTTTGTTTATACATGGCCTAGATAATACTCAGTTTCTATTTCTCGTAATGTTGCAGCTGAATTCTTATCAGGGGAGCAGTCATCACTTGGAGGAGGAGGAGGAAAGTTCTTTATGTCGGCAGGCGTCACACCATCAGGCCCAGGGATCTCTCTCCAAAGTCTGAACCCTGAGCAACTAGGTTATAGAGTATTTATTGACTAAAACAAGGGGTACAGTCGTCTGGGAATGCATGGACCAGGGTACATGTGGCCTTGAGGGAGTTTATCAGCTGTTCCCTGAAACTTTCCATCTACAGACTATGTCCCAACTTCAGTTAGTCAACAGGTCAGCCTGACATGTTCCACTTCAGTAAGTCTTCTGAAGATAAAGTTTCAATCATGTGACATTTAGAAAATACTGGTAACTGGCTTTGAATTGGGAGACAAATGAAGAGGACCTCTGGGCTTGTGTGTGTCTGGAGAAACCCCAGGTATCTAGAAACCTCCCCAAAGGGACTGGGCAGTAAGCCGCAGTCTGGGCATAGGGATGACAACTGTAAGTGTTGGCTGGGGGCTAGGTAGAGCTGCCTGTAGAAGCCTGTTGTGGGCTTTAAAACCCACTGGGAGGCCCTCCCTGGTGGCGCAGCGGGTTAAAGCACAGCACTGAGAATCTGAAGCCACTTCCGCATGAGTTCAATCCCCGCCTGACGCCTGCCCCGGAGGAGACCACATGGCGAGCCAGACCTCTCCTGACCCGCCCGCTGCTCCCCTCAGCAGTGTACTTCGTCAATCTGCCTGTTCTGCTCCCCACTCTGTCTCTGGTGAAGCCTCTCACCGCCCCTGAGCCTCTGACCTGTACCCCAGTTCTGTATGCACAAATAAATAAATAAATCTTTAAAAAAAAAAAAAAAACCCACTGCGCCTAGGGTGGGCTCGGTGTGGAGGGGAGACACCAACAATGTATAAATGGCCTCACATACACCTACTCACTAATCCCTCACGGAGACCTCACCAGAGTCCTCAGGGTAGGGCACACCCATTCCAACCCGTGGGATTCTGCTCCAGACCCCAACAGAGCTCCAGTCCCAGAGCCCCCAGGCTTCTCACTAACTAACGTAGGGAGAAGCATCTTCCTCCACCCTCGAAGGTTTCCTGGCTGGGGCTAAAACAAAAAGACAGATTATGAGGAAAAGTGCACACGTGTTTAATACAAATCTGACACGACAGGAGCCTTCATAAAGTAACAAAACCCCAAAGAAACAGACCTGTGTGTGTGGCTGGGTCTGTCAGGTGGACACCACGGAGGAACAGGACGGGAGCTGAGTGTGATGCATGGGGAGGTGGGAGGGTCCTTACACGGCTTGTTTCTCCAGATTCTTCTTGGCATCTCTGGCTTTGGAAAGGAGGGTGCTCCTTTCCTAGGGAGGAAAGAGGGCACCTCTCACCTGAGGACTTTATGGCTTGTTTCAGGGGACAAAGAGGGGGCCAGGGTGATACTCCTGCTTCTGCCTTTTCCTTAGACTTCTTGAGTTTCAAGTATTCATTATGCTAATGTGCCATATTTTGGGGTAAATGTCTTGAACCCCTTCACTGACCAGCTACAAATTCCCCTCAGCTGTAATAATTCACGAGAACAACTCACAGAACTCAGGAACGTGTTACTTGACTAGCTGTTTGTTTTATTACTGTAATAAAACTCAAAACAGCCAAAAGAAGAGACCCTGGAGGCCAGGACTGAGAAGGTCTCAGACAGGAAGCTCACCAAGTCCTCACTCAGGGGGTCAACATGTCACCCTCTTCCACATGGAGGTGTATGATCCACCAGGAAGGTCACTCAAGTTTCGGTGTCTGGAGCTTTTCTTGGGTTTCATTAATGCAGGTGTGATTGATTGGGCCATAGATCATGTGACTGAACTGGGCCCAGCTTCCCTCTCCATCTCAAAGCCATCACATGGTTGGTTTTTAGACAAGACCAATCCCATTCTGAAACTTCCTAGGGCGCCACCATAATTTACCTAGTACAAACACAGAGCCCAGCACACATAACAAAGACACTCCTATCTTCTGAAAAATTCCAGGGATTGAAAGGTTTCCTCCCAGAAGCCAGGGACAAAGGCCAGGCAGATTCTTACACAACGTTTAGTTTTCCCCCAGGTTCCCAGTTCTCTTAGTCATGTCAGAATGGCCTATCTCTGGCATCTCTTCACCCTCTGTCTATGCAGGCCTTGCTGGCTGTGTAGATGCTCCCATCAGCGGGGGCCTCCAGTGCTTGAGAGAGTTCTCACTTCCTGCCTCACACCCCACTAGCACACTCCTACCTGCTACAATCCACAGCAGAGAGAATAGGATCTGGGATCTCATTCGGGTGATCACGAGGGATCTTCACATGCCTTGCAGATGCAGTCATGGGGATTGTACCTGCACAGAGCCCATGCCTCGAGTGTCAACACATGCCAGGACCCTCACCCTATTCATATAGCCTCTTTAATGCCACCCAGACCCATGCCCACCCATCATGCCCACGGGATAGTCTCCGTTCACTGGAACTCCTCAGTGGATGTGCGTGGATTGTTTTTTGTGGAGATGAACGTAGGCGTTGGGACACTAGAAAGCAGCCCAGCAATAGTTAGGGGAGATGTGAAGGAGGTTTACGCTAGGGGGGACCCTGGAGGCAGAGTAGACAGATTGGAAATACAGCTTGGAAGTAGAATGGGTAGAACTGCCTGGCAGATTGAATGTTCAGAAGAGAAAGAATGTAGGGGTGGACGAGCTGCTTTGGCACTACGCGGTGGAGGAGCAGGTTTGGAGAAGCCCTTAGGTGCTGTGTCCATCATGCACCACAAGGGGCCGCCAGAGAGCTGTGGGGGTCTCTGTCCATCCTTCCCACTCAGCGCCCACCTCAGTGTCCCTTTGTCGTTTCGGCACCTCCTGCTCCTACATCTGCCTCCTCCCGGGCTCTGAGCTCCTGTGTCCCCAGTAATTAATTCATCTTGGTGTTGTTGGCCTCCACCCTCCACACCTGCAAACCCTCAAAAAGGGGCTGCTGAGTAGAGAGGCAGCCCCAGGCCTGTGCTGGAGAGAGTGAGCCCTGAGTTCTGGAGCCCAGGGCTGAGACATGGTTCTGCCAGCTATTTGCTGTCATTGTGGGTAATTAATTTAACTTATCTGGGCCTTGGTTCACCTGCAAGTGCGAATAAAAATAGAATCTATATTTGACAGATCTTTAAACGATTAAATGAAATAATTCATATTAAATTCCCAGAAGAGTTACTGACTTATGGTAATAAGACCCTAATTCATGTAATGCATTAGGTCAAAACAGACTAACTGTGGATGTTAGAATGTTTGTCTAAGATACTTAGAAATATCTTTAATGAGCTCAAATTCACATACCATAAAATTCACCCACTTAGGGGAATGGGATCAAAAACGGGGGGTGGGGAGGGAAGTGCACAGGATTATGGTGATGGCACACAGGTGACTTGGTGATGGGAAACCCGCGGGGATTACAATTGAGATGGGAAAAAAATGTACAAAATGATGTAAAAATAAACTTATTAACAACAATAAAAAATTCACCCACTTAATGTACATAACACAGTGGCTTTAGCTTATTCAAAGAACGGGACATTTATCCCCACTAGCTCGTTTTGGAATGTTGTCATTCTCACAAAAAGAAGCCCTGTAGATTGTGTTCAGTGAAATACGTCAGATGGAAAAAGAAATATCGGATGGTTTTACTTGTAGGGGATATAGGGGAAACTAACAAAGGGTTATGGGGGAGGAAAAAGACAAAAGTTGCAGGCAATTCATAGGCCTGAGTCATACAGCAGGGGTCACCACAGGGGAGGGGTCACCACAAGGGAGGGGTCACCACAGGGGAGGGGGGCTGTGGTGATGGATGGTTCACGGGTGATATGGTGACGGGAGATATATGGGGATTTCAACTGAGGGAGAAATCAAATACTGTACAAAAATGAACAGCAATGTAAGGAAATGAAAAAAAATAAAGAAAAGAAACCCTGTAGGGGCCCTCCCTGGTGGTGCAGCGGGGTAAAGCACGGCATTATGAAGCTCTCTGAAGCCACTGCGGCAAGAGTTTGATCCACCGACAGGGAGGCGACCCACATGGCGCGGCAGACCTCGCCTGACCACCCACTGCTCCCCTCAGCATTGTACTGTCAATCAGCCTGTTCTGCTCCCCACTCTGTCTCTGGTGAATCCTCTCGCACGCTGCTCTTCTGGCCTGT